GAAAACGGTTCTACCTGCAAAAGACAGAGGGCGCTCTGGATGAAGCAGCCCTGGGGTTCTTCCTCCAGGCTCAGCTGAGCCTGCAGGATTCCCTTCTCCTCCGTTACCAAATTCAGGACTTGCAATGGGGACGTCAGCAGCAGCTTGGAATACTGACTCAAAGAAGCATCTACAAAGAAAAAGATAAAAAGAAGTTACCATCATTCTCTGATGACAAATAAGAAGCATTCCAACCTGTTCAATAATCACAAGTGTTGCTATGAAGTTAGTGAAGAAAATTTGAACTATTTATTTATTGAGTCCGATTCGTCTGGGAAGGAGTGGACGTGTAATCGTGCTCTGATGCGGGTCAGAAAAGCGAACACAAAGACCTTGGTCGCGGTTAGGAAGTGAACTCCAGTGCGGTTAAAATGCATACATGATCGCCAGGAGGACCGGCGACTGCTCCAAAAGCAGGAGGCGGACTGCAGCGCAGTGCATTCTGGGTAAATGCAACCAAAACAAACCCATGCTGTAGCAGTAGCGGGAGAAATGTCTTGAGATCTTTTAACAGAGACAAAAGAGAAATCCTACAACTGCTAAAATCTGATGCTACTCCATTTTTGTTTACATTTCATGAAGAAGAAAGTTGCACTTGTATCTTCTAATGAGGATTTTATGCCGTTTCCTTCAGTAGCTCTCGGTGCAGCGCCACCACAAGTGAGGAGATGAACAAGTGTTTCATAGGGTTTTGGTCTGTTTGACACAGTTTTGGTCTGTGTGAAAGCGGATCACACCAGCTGGAAATGCAAAGAATGTTGCAACTTTGATCCCCAACTGAACCAAGTGTACCGGACTATCAAGTGTGAAAACCCCCAAAGAAAAGCCACTTGCCTCCAAAACGGACAGGCTCCTCCACCTTCACCCACTGGGAGCTTGGCATAGCCACCAGAGCCCCCTTTTCTCTCCGCATCAGACGCATGGTGATTTCATCCCCAACCACATACTGCTTGGTTTCCATGGCAACCACACTGCAGCAACAACGACAACAAACAAAACCCAGTTCACATATCGACACCGTCTGAATACGCGAGGAAGCTAAGCTTTTTCTGTGATTTAACAACTACTTAATTGTTTCAAAAGCAACGTTAACTGCATCCCTCCTGCAGCTTCTCTCTCCTCATTCACCTCTTCAGGTCAGCTGTGTGCACGGCCTCGTAGCAGATGGGGCACTTGGACCAGCTCTTGTCGCTAAGAGACAGGTAGTGGAGCATGCACGGCCAGCAGAAGATGTGTCCGCACCGTGTGATGCGAGCTGCCACAGGAGGATAGAGGCAGATGGGGCAAGACGGCATCTCATGGCTGTAGATGCGCTGCCGATGCACAGAAAATATCCGTCGTTACGCATTTTATCTCTTGTGGACAGAAGCGGCTGACATTATGAGTTTGATGAAAACAAAACGCTTGGATGGATCCATACTTACCACTTGCTGTACACAGTCCCAGTTGACCAGAGTGTCTGGGTCAGTGAAGTGAGCCTTGTAGTCCTGGTCATCAGTCACCACAAACTGGCAGCTGAAACACAAATACATCATGAGTTCAACATTAGTTTTCTAGTTCTAACCTCTTGACTTTCAACTCTACTTCACTACTACTTCAGGGTCTGCTTACTTGGCCTGGAGGAAAAGCTCCTTGTTGAAGGGCTTGTTCTTGTGGCCCCACTTGTTCCTGCGGCCCCAGTAGGAGTGGCCGCCGTCTCCGACGCCGTCGTTGCCTCCGCGAGGCTCGAAGGTAAAATTTAGCAGGTGATTCAGGCTGATTTTTTTGGGTCCAGCAAATTGAGCCGGGCTAAACTCAGCCCGGCGGGTCTCTGCTACCTGCAGAAGCGCAAACGTCAAAGTTAGGCTCAAAGAATCTGCTTTTTGTGTTCCCGCCCACCCCCCAACAAAAAGAACACGATGATGGAGAAGACAAACCTCCTCACGTCGTCCTCCGCCCATGACGCCATACTGTCGTCCTCCGCCTCTCTGAGGAGGTCTCTTGTCGAAATTCTTGCTTTTCTGTGAATTGGTGCGGCGAGGGCCGGGGAAATTTTCAGCTTTGGGAAAGGAGGGCTCCCGCTTTCGGTTGTAGCGCTTAGAGCCCCCATTATTTTTACCTTCTGAGACAGAAATAATAAAAAGGGTTAGACGAGGCAACATACAGTTATTTTCATAGCTGCTGCACAATGTCTGGGGCGACTTAATGTCTCAAGCTCCCTTTTTGCTTCAACTCCTGGTGGCATCATCAATGTCTGCAGAAATGAAAGAAAACTAAATAAAATAAAATACTGAGACGCTCTCGTCAACCTGCTCCTTCCGTACCTCTTGCGCCACGCTGCTCAGCTGGTTCCTTAATTTACAATAAGAATAAGTATCTTATTAAATTAACCTCTTTTGAACATTTTTCGACTGCAGAAAATCTACAGGAGCAGATGGACCTACCACTCAACCAGCAAAAGCAGATCATTTTACAGCTACTACAAGCTAGTTACACCTGTTTCTCTCTGAAGAGCTGAATGGCAAAACAAATGAGAAAATTACTTCAAAATTTATAACGACTTCACAACATCAGCAAGATGTGCAAAATACAAACATGTGGCTGAGCATTGTCATGACAATATGATTTGAGACAAACACTTAACAAAACTGAGTTAATACCTTTCTGTTTTGGGTTCCTTAAAATAACAGACCCAAAATAGTGAGTGAATTTAAATGCAAACATTTGAATAAAATCATTATTTTTGCGTCAACAAAGAGGCTTTACTGAAAAAAAGCTACGACAACTAAGCTGCAGCAGCTTAATACATATTAACATCGAATACAATAATGCTGGGATAACAAACATGCAGCATTTTAAAAAAAAGTCAACTGTAGTAATCAATATTTTAGCATGAACAACAGGACCGGTCACATTTCTAAAATAAATTAACTGGAATCATTGTTGCTCAAATGTATGTTATTTATTCGGTTGTTTTTAATGTGGCTTTTTAAGGAAGCTGCTGACTTACAGAAGTTTGGATTTTTTTTTTCCAGGTTCAACGAAAATAAATAAATATTAATATATAAGGTAATTTTTTTTATTCCAGGTGTGTGTGTTTTATTGGTTGTGTTTTTTTTTTATGGACCTGTGCAGCCCTTTAAGTCACTTGTGTGTGTAAAGTGCATATTAACTTTCAATGATTAATAAGTTGAAGTGGTGAGATTTGGCTGTCGCGTATGGGGGAGTTGTGACATATTGATCCGGGGTATAAGCTTGTGTCAGCTGCTGGCTCAAATGTTTTGATGGCGACGTCAGTCGCTCCAGAAGAACAAGCTGCTGCTGCGAGGCCCCAACAGGCCCCCCGGGACTGGGGGGTATTTAGCTGCAAATATCCAACAGCTTTACAAACACAAGGACGAATTTTTGAGTGCATTTGTACCTGTTTTGGGCTTAGACTCTCCAGGCGGTGGGCCTGTGGAGCTGGAGCGGGGCGGAACCTTGCTGCCGGTGCTGCTGTTGGGGCTTTTCTCCATGTTTGTCTCCGTGCAGTGAGCGCTGTTCGGGCCGAGCTTCTGGCAGAGAGCCGCCGAGCTCTCTAGCATTAAACGGGGAAACGGAGGACAACAGCGGGTTGCGGTGAGTGCGGGTCAGGCGGCGAAGGCCCCGATTCATTTCTGTCAAACGCGGAGACCCCATCACGGCGACATCTTGACCACAAAACAAACCAGAGAAAAAGACAGAGACACGATGATGGCGTCTCAAGTCGCGAGGCCTGGCAGAGGAGAGGACGAAAGCTCGCCAAACGGGGCCAAAACCCCCTCTGACTGTCGGGTTCCTGCTCGTTAAGGAAAACAACGTGCCCTTAACAAGGCGCTAAATGTTTTCCAAAAGCTGGAAAACAACCCAATTTGGGGTTTTTAGCCTAAAAACGAGGTCCGTAGTAAACAGTGTGCACTAATGGCGACAGGTCGCCAGACAGGAACCTAAGAGACCCGGATGTTTCTTGTCACGCTGCCAGCCTGGTGAGCGAAGATAAGAGCGAGCGACTCTGGGAAATGTAGTAGAATTTCACCAACGATCTGAAAGCCCTCCAATCTGTGAGAACATGTAGAAATTACAAATCTGTTGGGTTTAGAAACTTCCCAACCTACTGCCCCCTCAAAGGATCTATAATGTTTGTACACATCGCCTCCACCGTTATAACTGGTTAAATATGTACAAACAGTTTTAGTCTGAAAATGTAAATCAAACCCCTAAAAACTCCTAATTTGGGGTCATTGCGCTCAGTTAAAAATCTAAAAAAAAAAATAAAAAAAAATCAATGAATAGTTTTTAGCACAACCACAGTTGTCACTATGTTAATGGCAACCATAAATATTCCTGTAAAATTGATGGTCCTGTAATTTCAGTGTTACTTTTTTAAGGTGATTACCGTCTGGGGACCTTATTTCACTTGCGCATGTCTTCCTGTTGCTTTAACAAATTTAGCTTGATGAAGGTCAGGTTTTTTTATTTACCTCTATGCAAAATTTTAAGGAAAAGAGAATATGCTTTTCAGGACCGAACTGTTTTCCAATCAGGATTGGAAAACAGCTCATTCAGACAAGCCAGAATCTACTGTGTAATAAAAGCAAGTTCAAACAACTCTGAATCGCTACAAACTACTTACCTTTTGACCCATTTCAGTACAACGCAAGATTCTCTAGATATAGGGTCAATAATTACAGCAGTATGTGGGATTTTGAGTGAAAAAAAAATAATGTTGGAATTTTAAAAAGAAGTCCTGGTAGTTTCTCCTCAATAATTAAATATATTCACACTGATTAGATTTTTTTTCTTTCATCGATCTACAACTAAAATCCATTATTTTAAATTACTGTAAATGCAAACACAGTGGAAAAGTTCAGCCGTTAAGACTTTTATCATTTTTGTCAAAGAATGCCAAAATCTGAAGTGTACTGTCCTTCTGAACAAAATCCATAAATAATAAATATCATGTTTTCTATTGCTATAAAAAAATCTAGCCGTTTGCTTCTACTGTTTTATTTACCAGTAAACGCCACTGAATCCACGGCTGGTTTTTGTGAGTTTGTGCAGAAAATAATGTAAAAGATAAATAATTACATACTATGACAAACAAAATTTCATAGACAAAACATAAACACCTTTCTTACATAAAAATGTCAAACTTAAAACTAGATTACAATATTATTTTTAGCATGCCACGTAACTGATATTTTTATGCTGACATACTTTCAAGTGAAATTGTAGAATATTAGCCATGCTGCTGTTAGGTCTCCATGATTATTCAAAGTTCGATGTTTACATAGTCACTGAAAAATCCTATGAAACGAAATAAAAGAGATTCTTGGTCGACTACTCTCCATCCTCCTCTTCGCTCTCACGCTCGTCCTCCTCCAATGCTTCATCGCCTCCACCTGTTAGAGAGCAGCTTAGAATTGCTTCTTGAATCTGCCTTTTTTCCTCTGGAAAAAACAAAACAAAACAAAGACATTGGATCAAACCAACATTTTCCAGAATTTATTATATTTTTTTATCAATTCATTACCTTCATCTTTACATTTCGGGAGCATTCGATGGAGCTGCCGGGTGTTGTATCGGATCAAAAACTTCTGACATGTTCTGATTGTTCCTGCAGAAAAGTGACCACTCTAAATTTGATGGAGATTTTAATGTATTTCAGTGTTATTTTGTGTTTTTTCTTTTTTTACACCTCACCTCCAACGTGCAAACAGTTGAAGAAACATGGGATTATTCGTCCACGACATTCAATACTTGTAATGAATGGCAGAGCAGACCAGAGGAGTTTGTAACAGCTTTTCGGGAAACGGAGAAATACAATTCCAGTGTAGGCGTTCAGATATTTCACTGAAGAAAAAACAAAAAACAAACAAGAGACAGAGAGAAATTATGAAAGTGTCAGTGAATCAAGTCCCAGCATCAGAAAATTACACTACCATCTCATATTTAGACCAATGATAATACACGTGCAATGTTTTGAGTTCAGGAGTTGCCTTCATAAATCAAAGGCGAACAAAGCATAAAGGCAAGCAAATGTTTCAACTCTTCTGGATGAACAAGCGGTCCCTCTTTTGATCACTCTTGTCTGACAGCAGAGAGACATGTGTGTAGTTCAAATGCATTATGCAAAGCAAACCGTCAAAGTGCTTCACCAAGTCTTTAAACAAATCTCGAGAAAACTTAAATTCATCTGCAGATGCTTTTGTGCATTTTCAGAAAAAAGAAAAATCAGTAAAAAACACTAGCACCCTTAAAAGAAAGCCATTCTTCAGTTATACCAACTGTATACCTCCTTTAATGACATTAAATCACAATTTGAAGGACAAATTAGTTCATTCTAATATCATCCACCAGAGGCAGGCCCTTTTCACCAGTCAATCAGTTTTGCTTTTCCTGTGATCCCTGTGCACAGTGCCCTAACTCATCAGACATTAAGTTTTATGTTTTCTTTCCAATTATATTGTTGTCTATACCTCCATATGGAATGGCTTATTGGTTGGACTTCTTTCATTGCTGATATGAACTTTTTGACCTTTCGCATGTCTTGTTTGCTCAATGTTTTAAAGAATACAATGCCCCATGCTAAATTTTATGGCGTATAAATGCTGTGCTGAGCTCCATTTTGATCTGTTCGCCCTTTCCTTAATCTGACCAAACATTGCCTTCCAAGTATCCTTCTCTGACTGTTTCAGTTTGTTTAGGCACTTTCATTCATTCTGTTTTCACTTTTGATTCTGGTGGAGAAATAGATTATCTCAAACAGTTAGTGGATTCCAGCTGCATAGTAAACACCAAAATGCTGATCAGAGCCCCTGAGCTCTGTTTTGTCTCTGCTCATGTTGATGCTCTTGAGCTGCTCCGAGCTGATCCACCAATCCCTACTGGCGAGGATTTCACATTTACAGTGAACGGTCACTGTTTAGTGCTATGTCACTGCAGCATGCGGCCTAATCAGTAGAAAGAGTCCGACATGCGCTGATCCACTGACAGCTTACCAAAGAATCGGTAGCTGCAGAGAGCTGTCCCGTAGACACCGTGAATGCGGGCCACCGTTGCCTTCACGGTCCCCAAAACAGCTCGTTCGTCCAGCTTCAGCAGGTCGCGCCTGTCAGAGACGTTTATCTCACACAACAGATACCTGCCGACATAAACAGAGAACATCAGAGATGTGTGTCAAACACAAAAAGGCAACTAAAAGCACGTGTTCTACCTCGACTTCACCCGCACCATTGTTGCTTCTATTTCTTCCGCAGGAACTTCCGTCAACAAAACGTTTGTGTCAAGCTGTCGCGCGAGCGCCACCGTGTGGACGTCGTTGGGAAATGCTGGATGCTTTTGAGACGCTCATAGGCGGCCAGGAGTCGAAAAACCGTCCGAGCTCGTATTCAGACGAGAGGCGAACGGTGAACTCGTGTCGAAACACGTAAAATACGATCAGTTATTTCAACTCCCAGCATACAAGCGGGGCGACCCGAACAGTAAACCATTCACACCCCTTTTGGTTACCATGGCAGCCTCAATCGCTTCCAGCCAATCCCAGCCTCGACTTTCCATCTCCCCTCACGCTTTACGCCATCTTGAAATTACAGCTTCAGTTTGTAAAGTGCCTGAAATACAGCAGAGCTGCACCTTTGTCGCCTCCGTGGGCGACATGAACAGTTCTCGAAACAAACCGTCGCAGGCAGCCGGGAAGGCGCAGAAGGACGCAGACAAGGCGGTGGAGAGCAGCAACCGGGACAAGAAGACCGGCGGAGGAATGCTGAGGAAGCTTAAGTCCCGGCGCAGCCACCCGGACAAGTGGCCTTCGGTCACAGAGGATGAGCTGCGGGCTTTAGGAGGAGACATCTCCCCGGACCATGTGCTGGGTCTGCGGGTTGTCACGGAAGGTATCCTAGGAGCCCAATAAACGTCATCTTTATTAGGTTTGATAACAGTAGGCTTAGAAAAAATGTGCTAATTGTTGCTAATGTTGAGTGAACGCTTTTCCATCCACCTCAGGTCGTTTATGAAAGCATAGAAATATTAACAATTTGTATTGGTTACCATCTGGTATTCGCTTAAAACTGCTACAAGGGAATGTGGTAATTAGGGGTTTTATAACTACTGCTGGAATGGGATTTGGACTTTTGTTTTTTTGTTGTATTTTTTTTTCAATCTGAGTCTCTGACAAAACAGTCCCACAGCCTCATACATCCTCCACCATACTGAACACTGAAGTGCTTATCTTTCATGTCTAACCCACTTGAAGAGTTTTTGTTTTGTTTAATACTATTAATATTAATTTGTTTGTTGTTGTTTTTTTTCCTGCATCACTTGCAGTTATTTGATGTCTGGTGGTTGTTGTGAAGACCTGCTGACCCCAAGTATGGCTTTTTCTAACATCAGCTGTAGGTTTATTTTTGACAAGCCAGATAATTATGGGTCCTTGTCCAATTTAGAGTTCAGTGACCTGAAGAAGTGGTTCCTCAGGAGACAGAATTCTTTTGTTTTCTAAAGCAAAGTTTATTTTAACGTTCTTTTAAACTCATCTTCAACAGGAACCCCATGAAACGCCTTTATTTGTTTGTTGTGCTCTTCGTTGTCTATCCTGCGTAATTCTATTCAGCATCTGGATTTCCCAACTGTGGTTCGAATTCAGCTTTTCTCCGGTGTTTCAGACTACCTGTGCAGACCTGAGGATAATATCTACAGCGTTGACTTCACACGGTTCAAAATCAGAGACCTCGAAACTGGAACGGTTCTTTTTGAGATAGCCAAACCTCCAAACAGTGGTAAGTGGTGCATTCAATTTACCCAGCATGGACAGCTGATTTCTCCTAAACTCTTGGTGCAAGTTACAACCAAAGGTTATGAAGTCATTTTGATGGGCCTTCATACAGAGCGAGCTGCATCTACTTATCTTTCTATGAGGTAAACAAGCATGAAAACAGCAGTGTTTTCTGTTAAATGCTGCATAAAAGTCTTTCAGTGTTTTTTTTTTTTTTTCATCAATGAACTACAGACTCCTATTGTTTTTGGTTTCTTTTCGGGGATGTACTTAGTTTTTGCACATAAGATTTGATATTTTCTTATTTTTTGGTCAATTATATGTTGAAATGTAGAACCTTAGAATACACTTTCCAGAATTGAACCTTAATTTCTACGTGACAGGGTGACACAGATTAGTTCATAATTGTGAATCGGTTATGAAATAATTTCAGGTTATTATTCCCTCAAATAACAAAAAGATAGCATTTATTTATGTGTATACTTTGTTGAACCACCTTTTGCTGCAATTACACCAGACTTTTAAATACCTGCCAGGTTCGGACATCTGGAGATGCCCATTTTTTATACGACAGCTTGTTCTAATAAAGTAATATGTTTTAATGTAATTAAACTCTGGCTGAGTGGGTGGGCTTGTTGTGCTAATGGAAAGTGACCTCTTCCAGGTTCTCTCCCAGGGTTGCCCTGCATTTAACTCCGTCCTTCTTCCCCATATGTCTGACCAGTTCCACTCTGTGATGTTACTGATGTTTGCATGGCCTCCAGTGAATTCATTCTCTGGTTTAGGTCATGCGGAGAAAGACGAAGACAGCGGGGATGCAGACTCCAGCGCGGGGCGTTTTGTCAGATACCAGTTCACACCAGCCTTCCTAAAACTGCGCACTGTTGGGGCGACGTAAGTTCCTGGCCTCTCGGCCTCCAACAGTCATCATTCCTCACCGCTTTCCGTACTTTCTTAAAAAAGGATCTCTGCTATCTCTTTGTCCAACTGCAGCGTTGAGTTTACAGTGGGGGACCGACCTATCAACAGCTTCCGCATGATCGAGAGGCATTATTTCCAGGGACAGCTCCTCAAGAACTTCGACTTCGACTTCGGCTTCTGTATACCCAACAGCCGCAACACGTGCGAACACATTTACGAGTTTCCACAGCTTCCCGAAGACCTGAGTGAGTTTACGTCCCATCTTCAGAAATACCAGATCACCGCTCCTCCTACAATTATCACCACGTTGATGCTCTTTGTGTCTCTTTTCTCCTGTTTCAGTTCGCCAAATGGTGGAGCACCCATACGAGACCAAATCAGACAGTTTCTATTTTGTGGACAACAAACTGATCATGCACAACAAGGCAGACTACGCCTACAACGGTGGGCTTTAAAACCTGACAGAAGAAATGGGTCCAGGATCTCATAGCTGAAAAAATTCCTATATTATACATTTCTAAAACTCCTTCCAAAACAGGGTGCAGAAGTGTTTTTTTGTTGTCGTTGAAATTGTTAGAAACTAGACCAACTCTGCCTTACTACAAAAACACGGATCCATATGGAAGTACCTCGGGGAAGCTCAGCTTCATGGACTCACAATAACTTTGCTCCTGATTTCTGTACATCTGACTGAAGTGTTTGTTCTGTTCTGTGTTTTGGTTTGTCAGGCAGGTGTCGCATTACTGCTTGAACCCTTTGACCCATGCTGTCTCTGCTGGAAGGGGACGCTTCTGGTCGCTGATAGTTAGGAATGTAATTCACTTAAACACTCATGTTTATTTAAATGACCCGTTTCTACTGACAGTTGGATTTCCTGAGTGGGAAAAGCAAGCTTAATATTTCTCAAGCGTTTTTAACCTGCCGTTTGATGAAGAGATAGCATGAATTGTGTTGGATTTTTATCGACTCGTAGCTTGAAATGTTATGAACTGTTTATTATTTGAACTGTTTGTGTCCATTTAGTGGTCATTTCTTTGACTCTGAGTAGATTAGTCTTTTTTTCTTTTTCTGGTCAACTTTCATTCCATTTGAGGAAAAACATGACCTTCTCGTGATTACGTCCTGTTAAACTGTCACCAAGTTTCCTTTTGTTCTATGAAAACTGACAGAATCGAAGAAGGTGAGAAGGTGACAGACTACATTTTGCACATAATAATCAATAACCGCTTAGTTTGCATGTTTAAATTCACTCTGATGTGGTTCGACCTGTTTAGTTCCTTGAAACTCATCCTTCTGGTTCAACAAGGAGGATGCAAACCTTTCCATTAAAAACTGAAAGGAAACCAAGAAAGAACCCCTGCATGTACAACTCAGTGCAGAAATGGTTAGATGTCCCTCAAGTTTTTACTCAACATGTCATTTCTCCTCAGTTTGTACCTTAAAAGAGGAACATTGTTTGAGTGTGCTTATTGTGAAACTATTGGTGGCCTTGTTAAAATTTAGGGTGCCTATAAATCATTAGGGGTGACAAACTAAACTCCCAGCTGTAGAGCAGGAAAGTGCCTTAGAATCTGGTGTTGGTGAAAAAAACCTAACAAACTTGTATCAGAAAGATTTGAACAATTCAGCAAGAATAATGGAAGTTAATTTTGCTCTACTTTCTTTTTATTATTTTCCACAAAACCTTGTTTACTGCTGTCTTGTTTTCTAGCATGTTACAGTTCAGGTAGTCGATCATTTTTAGAAGTTATTTAGGGATTATGAAGAAAGCCGTTAATAGTCTTGTCCATGCATTGCCTTTAGCACCGTCTCATTCTGACACTTTGTGTCTGGCCCTTGGTTTAAGGTTTCTACACACAGACGCAGCACTAACATGGTTGCTGTGGAGACCTGTTCCTTTTTTTGTCATCTGGTATGGGAGTTGTTTTGCTCAAATGCACTGAGAAATGCATGAGCACTCTCTGTTTTGAGTGTGTTTCTGTAACTTGTTGCATATTATCCACTTTTTATATTAGATTAGCATTGTAATAAATAAGAGAGACAGACTGCAAGATGCATTCTCACCAGCATCTTGTTTCTCATTGCTGCCTAATTTCATAATTCTTGAACCATAGTTAAAATTTCTTCTGTTTAGAAGACATTAAAAAAATAGCATCTTTAGTACAGAAATCTCCATCTTCCAAAACATATTTCCTTGTATTATACAATACATGAACTCAGTACTTTGTCTAGCTCGTTTTCCATCTATGACTACATTAAAAGGAGTGTGACATTACTATTATTTTTTTCAGTGACCTAAGAATGGCACAAAACTCAACCATGTACCAGTTCCACATTGGAAAACCGGTTTAATTTACAAACTTGGCCCTTTGCAAATGCAAATTCAGCTGGCTTCATTTTAGCAACTCAAGCTAATTAAAAGGCATTTTTCTGGTACCAACATGCTTCAGATCAAGTTTCCCATGTCGGATTTTAAAAATCTGGGCTGGTATCAAACTTAAGCTATGTCATTCTAATCTAGACTTCAGAGTGACTGTTCTGCTTATTCAATTTAAAAAAAGTCAATTTAAGAGTGACACTAAAATTCAAGTTTAAACGCTATCAACTAAATTGTGCAGTGTCAAGTGTTACAATTTATTAAAATTTAAAGACATAGCAATATGTTTTTTATTTATTATTAGATGAATAATTGTTTATTTTTTTTGTTAGGGTTATACATTTCTTTTCTACAGAAATCCTAACAAAAGTGGGAGTCATTTCTTTTTTCGTGTGCGCGATGAAATAAGGGACTACATTACCCAGCATTCTCAGTTGAAAACAGACGCTCCAGCAGCGCGTGGTGTCAACATGGCGTCCCGCGCTGGAAGGAGAGTTCCTCAGCACTCCAGCAGCAGTGACGACGAAGAGCTTAAAAAATGCCGCGAGGCCGTCTGGGAAAGCCACACATTTAAGGCGAAAGGTAAAGGATGCTAGTATTTATGTGCCGTTTGTACATTTGCAACCGTTTTAGTAATTAATCCGGGAGAGCTAAGACTGCGTGAAACTCGTTGGACTAGTAGTAATTAATGTTTAGCTCCCCGCATCTTCGTGAGTTTGACGGCCGCCGTGCACGACGGGAGGCTGACGCTTCTGTCTTATTTCAGACGGGGACAGCGGCGTTGAACAGGAGTCTAAGCGGTAAGTGTCACATTTACTCATTTAGTTCAGCTTAATGGACTTTGTGCAGAGCTGAAGTCTTCAACATTCAGTTGAAGAAAGCGTGGAAGATTTTTTAGTTTTACACAGCCATCAGGGAGGAAGTCCTGAGTCTGGGATGCATCATGCACCAATCAGAGATGCTGTGGCTGATCTCTGAATCTTGTAAAGCTCTGACCAACCATGTTAATGATATGTTTATTACAAAACAAAACTTTCTTACTCCAAAACAGCCCAAGGCTAACACTGGAAACTGGTCAGTTCCTAAATAGCTAATTTTAAATGTAGATTAATGGTTTTTTTTTAATACCATAATCGTTCATCTTGCAGCCACTTAATTGAAACTGAGGGGTAAAGTGTTAGTGAATTCTGTTGTGCTACAGCGTTGTGGTTGCTGACCACGAGCATGACGGAAATGAGCTCCAGGTCACACAAGGATTTCGGAAACATGTCGCCAGAAAGCTGGAGGATCTTTTGGACAGGTAGGGAAAAGTTGTAATTTACAAGGGGATCATTACTTCTGCAGGACGCCAATTTTTAAGCTGCGTTTTTGTCCTTCAGTTGCATTTCAGAAACGCAGCACATGACCTCAAAAAGTCTGGAATCAAAATGTTATGATGGTCAAGATGAGGGTAAACGTCCGCTCTTTCTTTAAGCAGATTTGCTATTAGAGGAACTGACTTCACCTCTTTTAATGTTATCTTTTTTTGTTGTTGTTTTGCAGGATTTCGTTTGTTTTCTACATCCGTCCCAGGACAGGAAGATGCTAAACCTTCATCATCACCAGCCAGGCGTCGGCCTCCTCCCAGCTCAAGGTTTTTTCTTTTTTTCCTCCTTGTATTTCAACACTTGGTTTGGAGCTTTTCACCTTCCACAGAACATTCTACATTTCTGTGCTGCTTGCAGTGACAGCGACAGCGAGATGGAAACCAGACTGAAGGAGGCAGCGGTGTCCATCGGTGACCTGTTACCTTCATCCATGCGCTCATCTTCCTCTGTAGAGCCTCTCGGCTCAGGAGTTGGAGCGAAAAAAAAGAAGGCGGAAGAGGAAGAAGAGCATTGTGTGGCCAAGAAAAAGACGAAACGGAAAAAAGAAGAGAATAAGCAGGACTATGTATCCTCTGCTCATCACCAAGGCAATGGTGAGCAGGAACACTCAGTAGTCAGCATAAAACAAAAAAAGAAAAAGAAGCGTAAAAGAAATACAGAAGAAGAAGCGTTGAGCTGAGTTTTTAATCTAGTGTTTACTCATTCAGGCTGTCTGTGTTTTGTGTTGAACTGATCAAGTGATGTGGAGCACTCCATTATTTCTCAGATAACACAAGGCATCTAGTTTGTTTATAAAATAACTTTACATCCAATGTTGATGGTTATACTTTTTTTTAAAAAAAACTTCTCATCAAAAGTGAAAAAAAGCATTCAAGAAAAGCAAATTAAAAACAATGCAGGTAACATTTGTTTGCCAAGTTTCATCTGAAGTTAAAATTTCTGAGAAAAAACATTTTAATAAAAACATTTTTGGTGTTGATCTTGAGATATTTCTGCTATTTAAGTTGTGATTTTTTTCCCCTCCAATATCAGTTCTAGGTACTACTAAAAGCTGTCCTGAGTCAGTTTTTTTACTCGCAGACATCACTGGTTCCTGTCTCCAGGTTCTCCTCCCAGTGTAATTTGTCCAGTGTTAGCTGTCCATCCCCACACATCCTTACTCCAGCCGACAGGCCGGAGCTGCTGTACAGCCAGGGAGGTGTTACTGGGCTGTGGTCACCATTTGTGTAGGCATGTAGGAGCCGATGTCTGTGGGTGAAGGGGAGAGGAGGTGAGACTGATGGCGTTCCGTCGTCTGAGACGAAGGATACAGCTCGAGGCCCTCAGAAGACGCTGTTCGGAAGAGTGATATAAATCAGTTTAGACTCAGCTAACATGTTTCTGGCAAAATTAGTTTCTTCTATTCAATCACCCACACACAGGAGCATTGGATTAGAAAACATAATTTGTTTTTATTTATACATAAAAAAAAGAAGTTTTTTTTAATTAATTTTTTTAATTAATGTGAAAAAAAATGGCAGTACAGAAAAAAATAGTTAGCTACTTTATCAATTGTCACAGAGTAAACTTCTTTAAATTGTTGGTTGTCAAACAACAACACCCTGGATGGGTGGGAATTTAGCATGGCCAATGGAAAACGTTCTTCAGCAAATCGTTTTATGTCCAAAAAAACAAGACCAAAACCACAAAAACATTTAAGAGAGCCTCATCCCAAGCTGATTTCCAAACACGCTGGTGGCAGGGTAATGGTTTAGACTTGTGTTGCATCCACTGGACATTAGTCAAACATGCACTTTTAAGATCAAGATTTTTCCAGCGCCAAATCAAGCCATCTGTCTGACAACTAAATCTTGGCAGAATTTGTGTTTGGATCCATCTAATCGAATATCATTTCAGGCCTAATCTTAGTCATACTTGTAACAATTCAGCTTTCTGAACTGCTACTGTGGGCCTGAGAGCCAATGAAGGATAAAATTGCCTTTTGTATTTTCAAAATCACTATTCATAGAGATTCTCTTAAGTATATTTGGACAATGAGTGGTGAGGCTTTGCTTGCTCTGGTACTCTACCTGGTACAGGTGTTTGTGGCTGCAGGTGTAAAGAATCTTCCTGCAAAGGGGAGTCCGTCTCTTCCTCAGGATCTGCTGTGAGGATCTAGTCGAAACAGAGTTTAAGCTCAAGGTTTAAAATCTTACTGAAGATCTACCAGCCCAATGAAGTCATCAGAAGCATACCTGTCGGACCGCAGCCAGGCTGGTCAGGGTCCCCAGACTGCTGCTGTCAGTAATGACCATGGCTTGAGACAACAAACTGGAGGAATGGTACTGAGGCGACTCTGACTTGTTGTACACTGTCATGGGGAAGAGATGAATGAGTCTTTGCCTTCTGTGTGAAATTAAACTTGCATGCTGTTGGAGCCTTACTGTGACACGGCAGCTGTGTCATGGTTGCCATGAATGGACTGGCAGCCATGTGACCCTGAAGCTGCTGTTGTATCGCCTGCTGGTGGGGTGTGTGAAGCTGCTGCTGGAAGGAAATTGGCTGGAGAGTGGTGAAACCAGCCCCCATGTTGTTAATGACAGGGACGGTCTGTGATTGCGTAGGGGCCAAACCTGTGAAACATCAGAGATGGACCTCACTCTTTGTATTTTTAGATTTTCCATTCAAAAATATGGAGAGTAAATCGAGAGGCTGAGGTACCTATTAGAAGTGAGGACTCGCCCAGACTCATGACGCTGGGCACGGAGGCCATGATGAGGCTCTGTGAGGAGGCCTGAGACGCAGAAAGACTGTGCAGGGATGTCAGAGTGCTTACTGGGGGCAGTGGTCCACTGCCAGACACCTGCAGCCAGGGGGAAAGTATGGTCACAATGGGAGGATTACTTGGAGTGGACTGGTGAAACACCAGGACAAACACTCACCAGCTTGGGGTTATGAGACTCAAGGAGTGTATGGCTGGGTTCTAGTTGCACAGGGCTGACCACGAGACGTCCCACACGGTCCCCTATGCTGCTTCTTGCTGTGTCACAGGAGATTTGCTGGCTGTACTTCACACCTAGGTAAGCAGTGTGAATCAGGTTTCAGGACAATGTCCAGGGTGACTAGCTTACATGCATCAGTCTCAGAACCTGCACAAGTCATGTGGTACTTGCAAAACCACCTTAGTTGTAACAGCTTAATCCCTAATCTCAGTTTACAGGAAATAGTCCCGTTTTCAACGTTATCTACAAAGAATATAAACTGTAGGTTTGTGACGTATTACCATGCTCAGGACTTGTTTGAAGGGTGGCATTAGAGGAGGAAGCTGACTGGCTGTTGAACGATGTGTCAAGGGCCAACTTGTGACGAAAAGCCTCCTCTTTACGCCGGTTGGCAAACCAGTTGTACACCCTGACTTCAGTAACTAGGTTTGAACCCAGACCAGCTAACTGGGAAGGGGACACCCCTCTCTGCAGGCACTCCGCTCTGAAAAATAAGAAATACACTTACAGATGAGTTAACAAATGAAAGATATGAACTGAAGTCATTGACTAAATAAGCAATAAAATCAGTGGTGCTTCAAAGGAATAGGATATTGTGAGATTCTCATATGTAACATGTTTGTTGCAGCTCTGACTTGGCCTCCAGTAAACCCTTGAAGGTTTGCTTTCATATTTAATACCGATATCTAGACAGGCCATCTTAAGTCCTGTAAGATGCAAAACTACATGGATTGGACTTGTTTGTCCAGTACACCCTACTGATGCTTGGCAGGTTTGAGAGATGAACAATTTTGAGGCTAACACAACAATTAAAGCTTCTCTAATCATTCCTGAAGGAATTTTGCTTTGTGGCAGCATGACTTGTTCTGTTGAAAGAGTATACAGCCATCAGGCAACGCTGTTCCAATTCAGACAAATCTACAGTCAGTGCGTGTAAATGATTTTTTTCCATCAGAATGATTGTTAAGTTGTTTCGCTATATGAACAAGAGTGGCTCAGCTGCTGAATCTGATGAAAGGAGCCAGCCTTTGTTGCCCAAATGCATTTATGAGCCTTTGTTGCCCATGAGTCTGGTGAGCAATCCAATATAGCCACTGCTAGTTCACTTACTTGACCATCTTTGTTAGACACCAAGCCATGGTTCTGGAGATACTCTGGCCCAAATTTTTATCCTTGACAATTCAACCCTTGTCAGACTTCCTCAAATTCTTATTGGTTCCCATTTTTATGCTGTTAACATTTCATCTTTGATGATAAAATGTTCAGTTTTCTTCCTAACATACCCCACCAATTAAAAGGTGCCATGAAAAGGAGCGAAGCATAATCGTCGATAATGTTTGGCCCCGTTGCTGTATATCTGCAAAATAAAAAATGGATTATGTAAAATCTTCCCACACCTGTTGCATTCTTCTACCAATCCCTCTCTTTCCTCCTTGCTGGGGTTCTTCTGACGCTCATAGGCATTGAAGAGGATCTGTAGGGACGCTGGGCCCCACTTGAACCGGTTCCTACGTCCTTTTTTGGTGTCTTCTCCTTGTTCCTCCACCGGTGCCAGGCCATGTTTGGCATTGGTAAATTCTACATAAGAAAAGCATAGTTTGTATTACCAGTGTGTCTCCATCTCCTAGGAGTGCTGCTAGTTTTGGGTTCAAATCAAGCAGCGTTTGGTGCTTCTGTGCAGGTTTGGTACTCACGCTGGCTGATCTCGCACTGCTTCTTGACGTACCAGCTGTAGAGAGCAGCTCTCTTTTGGTTTTTCATGGGTGTGCCTTTGTTGAGGTGCTGGGAGAGATGGGACTGGTTGAGGCCTGTGGACTCTACCACCTCTCTCTGAGGTAGGTTGTGCTGCTGCATGTAGCTTTTCACCATTTTTGCAACCTGCCAGGGGTCCTCCCTGTTCATCAGACGGGGCAAAACACTTAACAGGTCACACAAGCTCAAAACCACACAGCTACTTAGTTTACAAAGCACTTTGATTGTTGTGAAATTCTTGGGATTTTTGTTTTTTGTAAATACCATTTGTATTCAGAAGTAATGACTTTTGGGTTCCAGGAAAAATCTGCTGGAACGTCCACTGAAGTCAGAACCATATCTTGAATGAGTTTGACTCCTGTGAGCAATCCAATATATCTGTGGAGCTACTAAAACTTGTGTTTGTTTACACGTTTATTGAATTGTGTCTTATAAAATTTGTCACATAGTCAATAGAAATCTGATGCTTAACGTGAATTTATTGGTTACACATAAAAACTGCTATCTGACAGTATTGCTAATAGTAACTGTTCTGAAATCTAACTTCAACCGTTTTATTTTTTTTCTTTCCAAATGCTGTTTATTAAAGTGGGAATAGCTCACACAAAATGACATTTAATATGAGAACCAACGTTTATCGTTATATTTTTGGTATTCTTGGAGTATTAAAATGTTAGAGGAGATAGATATGTTTTTTGTTCATTTTTTTGATTATTCTGTGTTCTGGGCCCTTTTTTGTCTCTATGTGATTCATGTCTGAGATTGATTTGAGAGTCTGATTTTGGGGGAGATTTTCAGCTCATTTTCCTGATGTGTGTTGACAATTGTAGAAGAAAGACTTGGATTAAAATTTCAGTCAAATTGTGAGAACACAGAGGGATGATGGAGGCTGTATTTTGCAAAGTTGGATTTGAGGCTTCAACACTTGGTTGTTAAAAGTATCATTTGTATACAATGGAGAACAGTGATAGAAATATTCC